AATTTTTTAAAATAAAAACTTAATGTTAACAGTTATAAAAAAAAAATAATGTAATAAGTAATGGGGTTTAGTTTAATTTTTATTAAATACATTTTTTAATTATCATAAATAAAAATTTAAAGTTGATAGAAAATTTTAATGAAATAGACTATAAGTAATGTCCTCATAGTAAAATACTTAAAACTTTATAAAAATATTATTAATTAGTTACATTTTGTTTTCTTTTCAAAGAGGTATTTATTATATGGATATGTCTCGTTTCTTATCTCTCATATTTTATTTCTAATATTATATCTCTACATTTTGTATCTACAATATCGTACATTTTATATCTTATCTATAATATCTCTTATCGCATATCTCTATTTTTTAGCCAGACATTAAAAATTATTTATCAGTTCTTTAAGTTACAAAACATCCGCTTAATAGCGGCACACGCACACATTGTCTTTTGTAACGTTCAGTGCCATTCACGCACGCACGCAAAGATTTTCTTAATGTCCCTGATCCAAAAGCCATATTCATGTTAAAAATTTAATTTAGTCGTTTCATGTGAAATTTTTATTTCTGCCGAGTTAAGGGTTAAAAGACGTCGGTCATTTAAATGTCTTAAGGTACTCAATGTAAAAGTGGACTTTAGATAGAGTACACTTTTTAAGTTTTAAATCTTATGGCACTCGGATGTTTATTGTCCATATTCTAATAAATGCGAACGTTACATTGTATTTTATAGGATAAGTTTAGGCAACACAATCAAATAAAAATAGCCTTAATAGTAGATTATTGTATGTCATGTAAAATCAATAAAATGAATTCTTAAAAATGATGCGTTGTACATTTAATATTAGTAATATTAATACTTGCTGTATAATATCAAAGTATATTTGTCTTAAATTAATCTATTATATTCCATACATGTTGCAGTATTCATTTTCCGTGTAAAGCGACCGATACCTTAAACAAAACAAAAACCATGGATTGCAGTTTGAACAAAACTATAGAAAACGATTCTGAGAAAAACATACACAAAATACACTGCAAGTTCGACTGTAATATATGTCAAAGAAGGTTTACAACCAAAAGTAATATAATCCGGCATATTGCGAAATCGCATTTTATTTCTTTGCCTCCTAAATTGCAAGACCGTTTACCTCCACGCTACAAAGTACCTCCATATGTGGCAATCACTTGTTATCACACAAACACACACTATCTGTCCATATAATTTCTGCGTTGTCATTCAGTTTTCATTGGAATCACATATAATGTGATGATTGTTGGTATCACCACCTACTCTACCGCAGTGAAACGCTGGCAACGCGGTGTCGGTTGGTACCACTACCCATCGTACCCCCACCTGCGCCGGGAGAAGCGTAAGGACGATGCCGCAGCCATTTTTGGTCCGCCAATCGATAATCTCACACGACTTCGTCTACACGCTTGGCGTCTTTTTTCCAAGCAGACATTCTGTTAATAACTTTGTGCTGTACACGTTAGGTAAATATACAAGCTGTTATATTTAAATAAATAAAACAGCCAATTTGTTTGCAGTATTGGTGCCACGGGTCCGACTCGTGAACATCTCTAGATTTCAATCATATTAACTTGGTCGAATTCTACGATAAATACCTTAAGTATTGCGTCGTGTTTCGTTATTTCGTTACAATTGTGTTTTGTCTTGCATGTCAATAATTTATTATAAGTTTTATTAGCAGCGCTGGAAGGTGGTTTATGGTTCTACGTTGTGTGAGTACCTATTGTTTTGTATTTCTAATTTATATACATAATTGCCGCGTTTACTGTCTCCCGCGGAATTAAAACACTGCTTCTGAATAAAAAGTATCATAATTTTTATTTGGTTGCTTGTTACTTATTTATCCGGAGTTGAGTAGAGTGATATGGGATCAACACCATTTTAAAGTTATCTAGTCGGCAAAATGGCCAATCGTCTAGCTTTAATCTTTATTGTGTTAGCTTTTTACCAATAAGTCATGCTTGTAGCTTTGTGTTATTTATCTAATTCGAGTAAATTAAAATTAAGTTTTAAATGTTTAAAAGAACAAAATATACTACTGAAAACTCAGTGGTTTTTTACAAGTAATGTAAACTAAATTATTCTTTACTATATCATTATTATTACTTTATTTGTTACTTAATAAAATAGTTAAAACTGCAATTTAGTATCCTATTTAAACCTCTTTGCATAAGTGGTACAGAAAAAAACAACTAAAGCTCAATGTCAATTACAGAGTTTTGAAACGGTAAAATATGTTGAATATTAAACCTGAAAATGACGATGCAGAAGAATACTCCGTTGAACCAAAACCGTTTGATGTGCTGTTCAAAAACAATGAAATAACTATAGTAGAGGATTATTTGGTTAAGAATGAAGTAGATGATACTTATGAGTAAGGCGATATTTATTACCATTTATTTTATCTTAAACAAAACTATTAAAACTTGTGCCTGATGGTATCAATATAGGCGTTTCGCTAACATTAAACTTATATTAGGAAACATTTGTTCATTTAATAATAGATTGATTGATTTAAAACTACATCTACCTCTTATCCTTATAGAGATCCATTAAAATATTTATAAAAACAAATTTGTAAACATTTTATTTGTGGGTGTGTTGTCTGCAACACCAAATTATGTTAGCGTAAGTTTTGTACGATACTTACCGAGTTATTTATATAAATATATAGAAAACATTTTTACAATTATTTTTCATTCTTTTATTAAGTTAAAAAAAAATGCGAATAAGTGTCATTTATTATTACAAAAACTATATATTAAAATTTATGTTTTTTACTATTAAAAATTTAATTTATGTTAAATAGAAATTTTTATGAATAGATTAGGTAATCTAATTTTTTTAAAATTTATTATATGATTAATTTTCGCATTTAGAATGTAAACTAAATTATCTTTATTATATCATTAGTAGACTTTATTTGTTACTAAATAAAATAATTAAAATTGTTCAATTTAGTTGTCCTACTAATCCTCTATGCATATATAGCACAGAAATACAACTAATGTTTAATGTCAATTATAGAGTTTTGAAGCGGTTTAATATATTGAAAATTAAACCTGAAAATGATGAAACAAAAGAAGAGTTGTTGGAAAAATCGTTTGAAGTCGTTGATACTAAACCGTTAGATATAAAGTTCATAAACAATGAAATTTCTACAACAAATAAGTGTTTAGTAAATAATGAAGTCGACAATAATTATGAGTAAGGTTATTTTTATTACCATTTTGTTTTTCTTGAACAAAACTTTAATACTTTTGTAATTATGTTATCCTCCTCCATAAACCCATCAGTGGTATCGATGTTAGCGTTTCGCTATTATTTAACTTATATTAGGAAATGCTTGTTTATATAATAATATATTATTTTAAAACCGCATCTACCTCTTATCAATGTAATGTTAAATCAAAGTATCAAAAAAACAAAATTGTGAAAACATTTAATTGTGGGTTTGATGTCCGGTCAACATCTGCAGCATCGCATGATGTTAGCGTACGTTTGCGTTGGCATAAAAAGTACCGGTTTTTTTAATATACATATATAGAAAACTTTCATACATTAAAATAGAAAAAAAAAATGCGAACATGTGTCATTTTTTAAAATAAAATTTTAATGTCAACAGTTATAAAAAAAAAACAATGTAATAAGTAATGGGGTTTAGTTTAATTTTTATTAAATACATTTTTTAATTATCATAAATAAAAAATAAAAGTTGATATAAAATTTTAATGAAATAGACTATAAGTAATGTCCTCATAGTAAAATACTTAAAACTTTATAAAATATTATTAATTAGTCACATTTTGTTTTCTTTTCAAAGAGGTATTTATTATATGGATATGTCCCGTTTCTTATCTCTCATATTTGATTTCTAATATTATATCTCTACATTTTGTATCTACAATATCGTACATTTTATATCTTATCTATAATATCTCTGATCGCATATCTCTAATTTTTAGCCAGACATTAAAAATTATTTATCAGCTGTTTCATTCACAAAACATCCGCTTAATCGCGCCACACGCACACATTTTCCTCGGTAGCGTTCAGCGTCATTCAAGCATTTTCTTAATGTCCCCAAGCCAAAAGACATTTCCATGTCAAAAATATAGTTTAGTCGTTTATGAGAATTTATTATTATTTCTGTCAAGTTTAAGGTTAAAAGACGTCGGTCATAAAAAGTCTCAAGGTACTCTATGTAAAAGTGGACCTTAGATAGAGTACACTTTTTAAGTTTTAAATCTTATGGCACTCGGATGTTTATTGTCCATATTCTAATAAATGTGAACGTTACATTGTATTATGTAGGATAAGTTTAGGCAACTCGATCAAATAAAAATTGAGTAAAGAAGACTTTTGTATGTCATCTAAAATTAATCAAATTAATTCTTAAAAAGGATGCGTTGTATATTTAATATTAAAACTTGCTATATAACATCAAAATATATTTTTCTTAAATTAATTTGTTTTGTTTCAAACGTGTTGCAGTATTCATTTTTCGTGTAAAGCGACAGATATCTCAAATAATACAAAGACAATGGATTGTAGTTTTAACGAAACTATAGATAATCATTTTCAGAAAAATATATACAAAATACGTCGGTTCGACTGCAATATGTGTCAGAGGAGGTTTACAACCAAAAGTAATATAATCCGGCATATTACGAAATCGCATTCCATTGAAAAGAAAACACCTCAAAAAGTCAATCATCGTAACAGCAAAATCAAAGGAAATACTCGAAACAAAGATGGCCTATTTAATTGTGGTATTTGTTTGAAAACGTTTTCATTAAAATCAAGCCTGAGAAGACATTGGCGCGTTCATACCGGGGAGAAACCCTTTAAATGCGATATCTGTGAAAAAACATTTGGTAGACAACATCAGCTCAAGATTCATAAACGCACACATACCGTCGAAAAACCGTTTAAATGCGATGTCTGTCAAAAGGCTTTTTGCGACCAATCTTACATCAAAATTCATAAAAGGATACATACCGGCGAGAAGCCCTTTAAATGCAATATTTGTGAAAAAAAATTTGGTCAGATATCTCACCTCAAAACTCATGAACGCATACACACCGCCGAGAAACCTTTTAAGTGCGATGTCTGTGAAAAAACATTCAGTCATCAATCTGCTCTCAAGAGACATGCACGTATTCATACCGGCGAGAAACCGTTTAAATGCGATGTCTGTGAAAAAACATTTAGTCTACAACAAAGTCTTAAAAAACATGAAAGGATACATACTGGTGAAAAACCTTATAAATGCGTTGTCTGTGAAAAAACATTCAGTCAACAAACTCATCTCAAGAACCATGCACGTATTCATACCGAAGAGAAACCCTTTAAATGCGATGTCTGTGAAAAATGTTTTAATATACAATCTAACCTCAAAGTTCATGAAAGAACACATACCGGCGAGAAACCATTTAAATGCGATGTCTGTGAAAAATGTTTTAATATACAATCTAACCTCAAAGTTCATGAAAGAACACATACCGGCGAGAAACCATTTAAATGCGATGTCTGTGAAAAATGTTTTAATATACAATCTAACCTCAAAGTTCATGAAAGAACACATACCGGCGAGAAACCATTTAAATGCGATGTCTGTGAAAAATCATTCAGTTTAAAGTCCTATCTCATAATTCATGAACGCATACATATTGGTGGGGTACGATACAAATGCTCAGCCTGTGACAAATCATATGGTTGCCAAGATACTCTCAAAAGGCATCAAGCAAAAGCACACGGCTCATAGATTCATAAACCTTACGTGACTATTTGGCAGTTTTTCAAAATCGATTTGTTATTATTTTGCAATTTTTTTTACTTACGATTTATTTCAGATTTAGTATACTTTTATTAGTTTTCTTATAATATTTAATTTATTACTATCGTTTAACAGATCAATAACATAAGTATTAGTTTTTAATTTATTTTTTCGACGGATCACATGAATTATTTAGTATTAATATTTTTATAATGTATTTTTTAATTTTCATAATCTACACACACAAAATGCTAAAAAATTTTGTTACTATTCTTATTTTTTATTATAAAATGTTAGTAGTCTTTTTAGTTACAGATGGTTTTGAAGAGAATGGTTTATAATATATGTTAATTTGTATTTTAAAATTGATTTTTAATTTAAAATATTTGTTAATTTTTGAGCGTTGAATTATGCGAACCGTGTTTAAAATCAAAATAAAATATTTTATTATTTCGTCAATTATGATTACATTATGTTAGTTTCATTCATATTTTTAGAATAAGTTTTTCGTTTTTTTAATTCGAAGAATTATTAAGATTGAACCTGACCATTATTAATAAATGTCATTCGGGAAAGTAAGGAGAATATGCCTACGTCAATATATACGTTTATTATTAAATAATTAGTAAAAATAATTAGTAAAAATAATTTTGTTCAATATATTAGTGTGATTAGTTCCCAAGAAAACATAATACCATGTTTGAGAGTAATAACATTAGTTTTATATTGAGACTTTTTTTTATAAACATCTTTTTCAAATAATTATTAAATATTGGAATTTTAAATGATTTATGTACATGGATAAATTATATGACCATAATGAACAAACTGTTTAAGTGTTCGTCAAATATCGTCTATGTTTGAAGAACTATTCGTAAGTGCCACTTTTGTTTGGGCATGCACCATTTTGACGTGGCTAAACATGTTCGTCTAAGACATCGGCTATCCGCCTCTTTGATTGTGACATATTTAATTTGACGGGTTGTTAAATTACTCCGCCTTGTTGAGGCTCGTTTAAGACAATTTAGTTAAAATGAAAAGTATATTTCACTAAGACTAATACAGTCTAATGATTAAAGACTTTTAGAAATATAGTATAATTGTTTAGTGTTTTAAATCGTAAAATATAGAAGCATTTGAAAAAAAAAAGGGTTTTATTGTGTTATTTCTTTTATTAAGCTTTGATACAAGAGTTTGGAATTTAATTTATTTGCCTCTTGAAATGCACGAGAGTTTACCTTCACGCTACAAAGTACCTCCATCTGTGGCAATCACTCGTTATCAAGCAAACGCACACTATCACAAATCTGTCCATACAATTTCTGCGTTGTATCGTGCACTGTGCAGTTTGCATTAAAATCACAATTGAAATAAAAGTTTTGATTTTTAATTAAGATTAAAATTTGTACACTCTGCTGAAGTTCTGTGAATCAAACTAGTGAAACAATTAGATTGAGCGCCCTAGGTACAATTGGTTTTCTGTATTGTCGCCACGGCCCCGCTTCGTGAGAATATCTAGATTTTAATCACAATTACTTGGTCGAATTCTGTGATAAACACCTAACGTACTGCGTTGTGTTTCTTTATTTCGTTTCAAGTTGCGTTACAATTGAGTTTTGTCTTGCATGTCAATAGTTTATTATAAGTTTTCAGTAGCAGCCCTGGAAAGCGGATTACGGTTCTACGTTGTGTGAGTACCTATTGTTTTGTATTTCTAATTTATATACATTATTGCCGCGTTTACTGTCTCCCGCGGACTTAAAACACTGCTTTTAATTAAAAGAATCATAATTTATTTGGTAGCTTGTTACTTATTATTTATCCGGAGTTGAGTAGAGTGATATGGGATCATCACCATTTTTAATTAATCTAGTGGGCAAAATGGGCAATCGTCTAGCTTTGATCTTTATTGTGTTAGTTTCTTACCTTCAAGTCATGCTTGTAGCTTTGGGTTATTAATCTTACTTTATTTGTTACTTAATAAAATAGTTAAAATTGTGCAATTTATTTGTTTATGCTACAAAGTACCTCCATCTGTGGCAATCACTCGTTATCACACAAACACACACTATTTGTCCATACAATTTCTGCGTTGTCGTGCACTGTGCGGTTTGCATTAAAATCACAATTATTATGAAATAAAAGTTTTGATTTTGTTAGTAATTAAGATTTATTTTTGTACACTCTGCAGTTCTGTAAATCAACCTAGTTAAATTAGATTTAGCGCCATAGGTACAATTTGTTTTCTGTATTGTTGCCACGGGTCCGATTCGTGAACATCTCTAGATTTTAATCATAATAACTTGGTCGAATTCTGTGATAAATACCTAACGCACTACGTTGTTTCTTTATTTTGTTTCAAGTTACAATTGAGTTTTGTCTTGCATGTCAATAATTTATTATAATTTTTTATTAGCAGCTCTGGAAGGCAGTTTACGGTTCTACGTTGTGTGAGTACCTATTGTTTTGTATTTCTAATTTATATACATTATTGCCGTGTTTACTGTCTCCCGAGGACTTAAAACACTGCTTGTGAATAAAAAGAATCATAATTTATATTTGGTTGCTTATTACTTAATATTTACCCGGAGTTGAGCAGAGTTATATGGGATCAACACCATTTTTAATTAATCTAGTTGGCAAAATGGCCAATCGTCTAGCTTTGATCTTTATTGTGTTAGCTTCTTACCTATAAGTCATGCTTGTAATTTGTCAATTATAGAGTTTTGAAGCTGTATAATATGTTAAAAATTAAACCTGAAAATGACGATGCAGAAGAATACTCTGTTGAATAAACGTTCGGAGTCGTTGAACCAAAACCGTTAGATGTGCTGTTCAAAACCATTGAAATATCTACAACAGAGGAGTATTTGGTTAAGAATGAAGTCGATGATACTTATGAGTAAGGCGATTTTTATTACCATTTTTTTTATCTTGAACAAAATTATTAAAACTTGTGCCTGATGGTATCAATATAAGAGTTTCACTAAGATTTAACTTATATTGGGAACCACTTGTTCATTTAATAATAGATTGATTGTTTTAAAACTACATCTACCTCTTATCAATACAAAAATCCATTAAAATATTAAAAAAAAAAAAAAAAATTGTAAACATTTAATTTGTGGGTATGTTGTCTGCAGCACCACATTATGTTAGCGTAAGTTTTGTACGATACTTACCGAGTTAGTTATATAAATATATAGAAAACATTTTTACAATTATTTTTCATTTTTTTATTAAGTTAAAAAAAATGCGAATAAATGTCATTTTTTATTACAAAAACTATATATTAAAATTCATGTTTTTTTACTATCAGAAATTTCATTTATGTTAAATAGACATTTTTTATGAATAGATCAGGCTATCTAATTTTTTTAAAATTTATAATATGATTAATCTTCGAGTTTAGAATGTAAACTAAATTATCTTTACTATATCATTATTAGACTATATTTGTTACTAAATAAAATAATTAAAATTGTGCAATTTAGTTGTCCAAATAAACCTCTTTGCATATATGGCACAGAAATACAACTAATGTTAAATGTCAATTATAGAGTTTTGAAGCGGTATAATATATTAAAAATTAAACCTGAAAATGACGATGCAGAAGAATGCTCCTTTGAAAAATCTAAACCGTTAGATGTGCTGTTCATAAACAATTCAATTTCTACAACAGAGGAGAATTTGGTAAAGAATGAAGTCGACAATACTTATGGGTAAGGTGATATTTATTAAAAAATAATTTTTATCTTAAATAAAACTATTAACTGGTGTTTATGTTGTTCTCCTCTATACACCTAACGTTGTTATCCATGTTAGCGTTCCGCTATTAAACTTATATTAGGAACTACTTGCTAATATAATAATAGATTGTTTTATAACTGCATTTACCTCTTATCAACATATTGTTAAATCAAAGTATAAAAAAAAAAAAAAATTTTAAACATTAATTGGTGGGTATGATGACCGGTTTACATCTGCAGTATCGCATTATTGTTAGCGTACGTTAGCATGGGACTTAAATGTGTTATACATATAAATGACAAAGATGGAAGTAGTAGTAATTTGGGGCTTTACCGCCCATTTTTACAAATTATAGTTTAACCTTATATATTGTTTAGTATAGAAAATTATTTGTAACATTGAGTGTTTTACTAAATAAGAAGTGGAAGAAATAAATCATATATAAACATGTTTCAAATAAATTATAGTCATTTTAATTCAATTTAAACAGTATAATAATGGATGATTATAATAGTGAATGTGATGTTTTTTGTACATTAGACTATTTAGATTGTAAAACGCGTAACAAGACTTTTGATAAATGTAGTAATACACTACTTATTTCAAAGCGAGAACTTATGAGTGAAGCCGGTTTTATTTATATTGGTGATGGATCAAATGATGATGTCTTATGTTTTTATTGTCGTCAAGGTCTGAGATCTTGGGAGCCGAACGACGAACCTTGGATCGAGCATGCAAGATGGTCTCCAGATTGTGGTTATCTTCGGTTAGTGAAGGGTTCACCTCATTGATTTTAAAACCTATTAAATAAAAAAAAAAGATGTTAATTTATTACAACATTCTTACATTTAAATTAACTCTTTAAATACTAGTAAAACCATGAATTCACATTGTAGACGCAGTGGCGTAGTAGGTTAAGGCGTGACTTTCTAGGATAAATTTAATAGGATGTGGATTGATAGCACTCATGCTAGGCTAGGTAGGTTGAGGTTGAGTCATACTTTAATTCACTCCGTCACTGCGTCTACACTTTTTGCATTTTTTTTTCCAATTTAAAAATAAAATATAGCGGTAAGAAGAGGGGGGGGGGCTAATATAGTTAATCAAATGTTTTTCAAGTGTTTAGTACATAGAGTTTCGTATAGTAGTACAGTCGATGTTAAAAGTATTATTCCAAGCACAATGCCTTGTATTAAATGTAGTCTACTAGAAGCTATTTATAATTTTATAATTAAATTAGACAAAATTGAACATTCAAATATAGAAAAATCTACATCTAAAACAAAACTTGAGGAATCTTTTGAAGAAGTTCTACACCAGACAAAAGAATTACAAAATGTAAAGAATCTAAAAATTGCACAACCCATTTGGTCAATTACACTGGAATAAGTAGAAGAGGGGGTATGTTTTATACTCAAGGTTTGTATATATATATACGTCATCTTTATGCTAAAGATATAAGTAGCTAATATAGAGTTAAGTTGTACGGACGTTTATGTGCATGCTAAAATTTTATTTAAACAAAATGGCAAATGTGTTATCTAAATCTACGTTCACCATTGACCCCAAAAGAACTATCTCGGTAGGTATTCTTTTAAATAAAAAATTATCTATTATTGTCTATTTAGATTATAAAAATAGTCAAGACCAGCTAATTCTTGATGAAAAACAGTGGCGTACTCTGATGGAATTTCAAATATTCAACAACATTGTGAACACAATTCAAAACAATGCAAAGTGAATACAATTAGGTTCAGATTTTAGTTGTACTACTAACCCTAAAACAGATTCAGTGATATTACGTAATAAAAATGAACGTATGAAATTGACGCGTATAAATTTGTTAACACTTCAGATGATTTCAAATTGTATTGAAGCACATATAACTGAACGCTTAAATAAGTTGGAGTTGTATCAAAAATCTTTTAACGATATATATTCAGCTATACTTAATGATGTTAATAATTTTTCAAGTGAATGTCGACGTATCGATTTCATAACGGCTTTTGTCGCAAACTATGATTTTCAAATGTTTGCAACGGATACAAATGCGCTATTCATCCATGAATTAAAAATTAATTATGATCAAATTATAAATTTGATTATGCGAGAACTTCTAGTAACTATAGTATAATTTCGAAAAGGAAAAAAAAAATATATGTATTGAGAGAGGGAAAACGTATACAAGCTAATTATTTAAAAAAATATTTCACTCGTTTTAGTTTAGAAATAGCCGTCTTACAAGAAGGTATTATAATGCCTTCACATTTAGAATGCTGCTCCTGTCGAAAGTGTCGTTTGTTAAAATATATTATTATTGAAGCAACCAAAAATAGTGTTAAAATATTAAATCAAAACTTAGAAAATGATATTTCAGTATTAATTGTGAAAACGCCAGATGCTCGTCGATCCAAGCGCTTACAGAATAAAAAATTCAACAAAATCTGAGTGAACGAGGATTATTTTTAAAGTATTATTAATCTTATTAAATAATGTAATTGTATTGTGAATTTAAAAAAGTGTTTAATAAACATTCTATTAACTAATCAATTGTGTTATATATATATATTATATAATTACTCACATTTAAGTCTCATAGCGTAGAGTACACATGACAATCATTTCCAACAACTCTATCTGTTAACCTTTAAAAAAAAAATATATTAAAATATTTTTTTATTTTACTAATTTAAAATCAGCTTACAGTGATCTCTAACGTTCATGTTTTCAACAATAATAAATACCTCCCTAAAAACCCTAAAAAAAAACAGTATAATATTAATTCAACAATAATTAAAACAATTAAACTAACTTACATATTAATCCGAATCAGTTAGCCAAATGGTTTCAATAGCTGGCTGATTAAGACGCAGAAGTGGAGGTAACACGTCTGCATCCGATTCATAAGTAACATCTGTTGATGACCCTTTTTTTTAAAAAAAAAAAAAAAGAAGAAAATATTATTTTATTTCAAATAAAAAAAAATTAACTTACATGAATGTGCTAGCGAAATTATTGATGGTTCTGATGTAGACCAATTTCCAATTCCATGTTCGTCATCTGTATCCGCTAAATAAAAAAAAAGTACGTTACTTATTTTGTAAAAAAAAAAATGTTAATATTCATTTATTAACCAATCGTTGGTAAACCTATATTGTAGAACACGATTGCTAAACTTTTTCCATTATTATTAATTACTAGTTAAACTCAGAACATTGAATCATGCAAAGAAATATGTATCTTTTTACTCACACCAATTTCCAATTCCACGTTGGTCATCTGTATCTGCTAAATAAAAAAAAGTACGTTACTTATTTTGTAAAAAACAAAAAATGTTAATATTCATTTATTAACCCATCATTGGTAAACCTATATTGAAGAACACGATTGTTAAACTTTTTGCATTATTATTAATTACTAGTTAAACTCAGAACATTGAATCATTCAAAGAAATATGTATCTTTTTACTCACTACTAATTGATAATATGTTTTTTTTTTTGTAATTACTATTATTAGAAAATAAAAAAAATAAAAAAACTATAAGTTTATTTTTTAAAAAAATTTTATAGTACAAAAAAACCTTAAAATGTGCTCTGTGTGAGCGCCGCGCTCATATGTTTACTAACGATGGGTTAAATAAAAAAAACTTACATTCCAACCACAGTGTTGATTTACTATGAAAAGACTTCACGTCGCTACTCGAGCTCCAAGGAGAATATGAAATCGACGAGAGCGACCGTTGACGTAGGGGTGATAATGAAAAAAAACTAGAGCTGGAATTAACACTTACCGATCGACTTCGCGATGCGGTAGTATCAGTCTCAAGAGATGTGTAAGAACCTATCCGTCGCCGTTGTGTTCGGATTTTACGCGGTCGCCGCCGTCGTTTGCAACGCCTCACCGTTCTAGCAGACGATGGATAGGAATCGCTGTCCATTTTGAACTAACAGCTCTTACTCATACACTAAGTTTGATAGTAAAAAAAAAAATCCCACTTACTTTTTAGTGAAACAGTTTCGCCTTGTAATAAATATAATCATTTGAGTCATAGCAACCATTACACAAAAAATTACTACGATTCATTGAACAAGACACACCGCGTCAATGAAACCCTGTGGTTAGTTGTATTCTATACGCTGCGTGATCTGTGTTTATGCGGTTTATGTGGGTAATGTTTGAGTCTAGTTAACTTTCTTCACACGTGAATAAACATTAATATTATTATTATTATATACCTTTACTATACTACTGAAAAAAACAATGATTTCTAATTTAAAATATTTTATTGTAATACTATATAATCTTATCTTAACAGTATATCGTTACGTTAAAATCATACAATATTATTATTATAATGAAATGTTCTCCACCATTATTATTATTGTTATACTGCTGAAAAAAAAAAAACAATGATTTCTAATTTATATTATACCTCTGCTATACTACTGAAAAAACAATGGTATATAAGTTAAAAATATAACTCGTCTTAACAATATATCATTACGTTAATACCATACAATATTAATATTATTATTATGAAAAGAACCTCCACCATCATGTATTTAAAATAGTTGATATAGCTGTAATAATATCATTCCTTTGTCATTTTTATTGTGCGAGATTCATCTGATAAAAATTTTTCTCCCAATTCATCAAATAGATTTTTCAATAAATTGTTGATTTTAGAATTCGCCTTATTATTTGTAAGACCAATTTTAGCAGATCGGTTCACTTTTCGCCATCTATAAAAAAAAATTAATTATGCTACGTTTTGGTACCAAAATAAAAAAAAAATTCTCACCTCTCACTATAGGATAATCCTAATACATCATTTACTAAATATTCTTGTATAATTATATAAGACGTTGGACTCGGTGTTTTAATATTAATGACACATTTTTGATTATTGTCACGTAAAAGCAGCATCGATTCTTCATAGTTCGCTTCATCTAAAATAACTGCATCCTTTAACGCTTTTTGAAAAATTGTTGACTGAAAATACATAATTTTACTATTTAAAAAAAAAAACAAAAAAAGTATATAAATAAATAATACCGTTTTGTTGTTTTTTGACTGTTTTCTTATATTTTTGCTAACTACTTTGGGTTTCTTCACTTGTGGTGGATCAAACGAGCTTGATTCATCATTTCTCTGTGAGGTCTCCTAAAAAACATTTTTTATATCATTCATATTATTATTATTATTTAGTTAACTTACTGCGAAGAAGTCCTCGTCGGATGATTCCAGAATCGACATTTTGTTTGTAAAATAAATTCGAACTGTACTGTCACACAACTAATGTTAATATAACTCTGATGTTTATGTTTTTTCTCGTTTTATACCAATCTTGACAAATAAAAAATATCCCACTATAGTGCTAACGTTCAAATTTGCATGGTAAAAAATAACTTAAGCGAAAATATGTACGGAGTGGGATGATTCTGTTTTTTATAATACTATGTAGAGTGTCTTCGAAATAATAATATGAGAAAGATAATTAACCTTCTTTTATTCATTCCAGTTGTAACATTGTAACAATCATTGTACAATAGCTAAAAAAAAAAAAATTTATAAATACGATTCAATGAACTAACCACAGACCACAGAAACCCTACGACTCGCTGCGTGTTACAATCCTTGAGGAACCTAACTGCTATAGACGTTTAACTATATTCTCCAAGCGAGGTCGATTTAATTTTTTTTTTTAATAACACTATAGAAGTGGTATATGTTGTGAATGTCTTTAAAATTATAATATGAGGAGGAGAATAACCTCCTTTCGACTGCATAAATACTGCCTAGTCGTGTGTTTTAAACATCAGTCTGTGATTGTCTTTTACCAGTGGAAACACCGTCTCCTGCTAGTGAAGTGTTTTCGACAGTACTATATCATTCTTAGCTATGTAAGTGTAATCATTTTTTACTTAAAGACATTTAATTTTGTACTCTTGTTGTGTAGTGCTCTTTAAAAATATATTTTTATTTAAGTCGCCGTCATTTATTTGATAGCAATGCTAATAAAAATATATATTTTAATTATGTCACCAACGGATGCATAAATTAAGCTATCAGTTCTAATTTTGTACTCTTGTTGTGTAGTGCTCTTTAAAAATATATTTTTTATTTAATTCGCCGTCATTTATTTGATAGCAGTGCTAATAAAAATATATATTTTAATTATGTCACCAACGGATGCATAAATTAAGCTATCAGTTCTAATTTTGTACTCTTGTTGTGTAGTGCTCTTTAAAAATATATTTTTTATTTAAGTCGCCGTCATTTATTTGATAGCAGTGCTAATAAAAATATATATTTTAATTATGTCACCAACGGATGCATAAATTAAGCAATCAGTGCTAATGTTGTACTCTTGTTGTGTAGTGCTCTTTAAAAATATATTTTTTATTTAAGTCGCCGTCATTTATTTGATAGCAGTGCTAATAAAAATATATATTTTAATTATGTCACCAACGGATGCATAAATTAAGCTATCAGTTCTAATTTTGTACTCTTGTTGTGTAGTGCTCTTTAAAAATATATTTTTTATTTAAGTCGCCGTCATTTATTTGATAGCAGTGCTAATAAAAATATATATTTTAATTATGTCACCAACGGATGCATAAATTAAGCTATCAGTTCTAATTTTGTACTCTTGTTGTGTAGTGCTCTTTAAAAATATATTTTTTATTTAAGTCGCCGTCATTTATTTGATAGCAGTGCTAATAAAAATATATATTTTAATTATGTCACCAACGGATGTGTAAATTGAGCTATCAGTTCTAATTTTCTACTCCAGTTGTGTAGTGCTCTTTAAAAATATATTTTTTATTTAAGTCGCCGTCATTTATTTGATAGCAGTGCTAATAAAAATATATATTTTAATTATGTCACCAACGGATGCATAAATTAAGCTATCAGTTCTAATTTTGTACTCCAGTTGTGTAGTGCTCTTTAAAAATATATTTTTTATTTAAGTCGCCGTCATTTATTTGATAGCAGTGCTAATAAAAATATATATTTTAATTATGTCACCAACGGATGCATAAATTAAGCTATCAGTTCTAATTTTGTACTCCAGTTGTGTAGTGCTCTTTAAAATCATATTTTTTTTTATTTAAGTCGCCGTCATTTATTTGATAGCAGTGCTAATAAAAAATATATATTTTAATTATGTCACCAACGGATGCATAAATTGAGCTATCAGTTCTAATTTTCTACTCCAGTTGTGTAGTGCTCTTTAAAAATATGTTTTTTATTTAAGTCGCCGTCATTTATTTGATAGCAGTGCTAATAAAAATATATATTTTAATTATGTCACCAACGGATGTGTAAATTGAGCTATCAGTTCTAATTTTCTACTCCAGTTGTGTAGTGCTCTTTAAAATCATATTTTTTTTTATTTAAGTCGCGTCATTTATTTGATAGCAGTGCTAATAAAAAATATATATTTTAATTATGTCACCAACGGATGGAAAATATTGAGTGTCTTTTAAAAAAAAAAATAGTATGAAGAATGAACATTATGATTCTTTATTTTTTTAGAATATCGTTACAGTCCTCATCACTCTCAAGGTCAACTCATTCAAAAACTGTTAAGGTATGGCACAACAAACTTCCACACTTTTATTAAACCCTAAAGAAAAAATAAAAATTATTAAAGCACTAGGTAAGCCTAGCAAACATGCTAGGAGAAGAAAGAATTATAAAAATAAAATAAAAAATAAATTAGACGATGAAATAATAAAAAAAATGTACGATATAATAAAAACAATAAAAGAAAATATTTAAATTTATGAATAATTTTGTTGTTGTTGTATTTGTATATGATTATGTGACTCTTGGTTTTATATTTCTAGTTTGAAAAAAAAAAAAAAAACATGAAAATTACGAAAAACATTCGTTTGAGTTCAACTGGTGATGGTTTACA